AGTAGCTAAGAAGAACTTGAAGTCTTGCAGAGTAGGACTGTTGAAAAATCAACATGAAAAGCTTTTCTCCATCTGTCATCACACATGCCTGAGTGGAACACAACTGCCTCCTACTGTTTTAATACTTTTAAGGCAAAGCTGCACATAAAATCCATTAAGTACACGAGTACACAAGTTTAGATGATGGGTATACTGAAACCCATGTAATAGTATGATCAGAGAATGTCAGCATGGCGTTTGAAGTTAACACAAATGTGGAGGCATAAAATGAATTCATTTGTATAGTTAAGAGGAAATTGTTAATTTTTAGCATGAATACTGCTTAGTTGCCCGAGAGTCAAAATTTTATACATGTTTCAATCTTCTTAATACTGATCTGAAAAGTGGCTGTTCTGATAAAATCAAAGTACTTAGGAAAATCAAAGTAGGGAGAAATCTAAAAAAACTTGAAGGCAGAAGTATTCACTGAAGGTATTTTTTTTTTTTTAAACTGGAGGAGCGAGGGTGAAATGAGGTGGTTCTGGGGAAAAATTCCATTCATCTTCTTGGAATAGAATAGACTGATTTACGTCTTTCTTACTACTGTATACTAAGTGCTAAGGTATATTCAAAAGGCAATAAAACAGTTTTCTTAATAAAGAAATTTCTTAAATACACTAAATGTGCAGTTAGTTAAAACCATAACTGAATGATCAAATATACTGATAGATGATAGATAGATGTAAATAGATATAAATACATACATATAGAGACATAATTTATCATGCTTATGCATATAACAAAATATTTAAACTGAAAGCCTCTTAGAATAAAGCACATACAGTAAAACTTTTTAGTCAGAAGAAGTAGGTAAAAATATAATTGAGTTAATTTGGCTGTGAGCTTTCCAGATAAGGTGAAAAGGTTGTTGAACTGCATATTTTAAAATTTTCTGACAGATGGATACATATGAATTCATTTAGTTAAAATTATCATTGGGAACCTTATACAAGACAGCCAGTGACAGGGATAACATTATCTTCAACTTCAATTATGGGTGAAAAAACACAATTCAGAAGTTCTTTTCTGATCTTCTAATAAAAACATAGGCTATAGTACCATAGTTTAGGTAAGGTGTCTCTTCAAAAAGATTATAAAAGGGAAAAATAATTCTGTGAGGGGTTCTAAAGCCCTGAAAACAAAACCCTACATGAGTCTTGTGTCAGTGACTAATACGAAGTATCAACTCTTGTGTGATGGAATCAATGAAGGACTGTGCCAACCATGTTGAATTAGATATTTACCCCAGTTTCCAAAATCAAAACATGTATGTGTCCTGCTATTCAAGTATCTATAACTGCAAATTTCCGTGCTAAGCATACTGCAAAACCATTCAGCAGAAGCTGCCTCTTCTCAAGCTAAATAGTCTTATCAGCCAAATAGTAGTTGGCAGATCAATTTACAAGTACGAGACTTAGAGTAATCCTTTAGAAAAGGCTGATACAGTAAAAGATTTAAGTAGTGGGGAATTTTTTCAGAGCTACTTACTCATATAATATAGGGAATTAAAGACAGGAAAACAGTAAGAGCTTTCTTCTTGGATTATGTGACAAAAGAACTTTAAGTTATTTCCATAAAGGTAATCATCCTACATGGCCTGATCATTGTATGAAATCAGTACTCATAAGACACCAGCGTGGGCTTTGTAACACTACCAACACTAGAGGCAAATTTCAACTAGAGTGACACAGTCCCCATGTACTTTGTATTTCCTATTATCCTTGACTCACTGTGTGTGTTACATCTTTTAAGACAGGGAATTCATATTTATCACAACGTTAATGTAAATGATCCTGTACTAGAAGCTAACCTACAAGTGTTTCCTCAACACCAAAGAATATAGAATAACAATTATTTATATAGCATTTACATTGTTATAAGTAATCCAGAGATGATTTAAAGTATATGGGAGAATATGCATAGGTTATATGGAAAACTATAAGCAAATACCATTTTAAATAAAAAACTTGAGCACCAGTGGACTTTTGTATCTTTAGGGGTCCTGGAACGAATCCTCTGTGAATATCAAGGGGCAAATGTAACATGGTATCTATTTGGTCACTAAGTGCTGTGATAGAACAATAATGACCACATCAATTTCTTTAATTCTAGAAGTAACATAATAACATTCCTATTGGTGGCTTAAAATTTTTCATAATACTTGCAAGGCTGTTCATTTACAAAACATACCATAAGGCGCAATGGGTATTTTCCTGGCTAGAGTCAAAATATAAAATAGCCATTACGTGTTCCATCATAAAGTATTTTATTTCTATTATTTAGAAAGGAAAAAATTAACAGTATCTATGAAAAATTTCATTTTAATGAAAAGAAACTGAGTATCATTTTATTAAAAATTAATTTGTATTTTCATTTTCATTTTAATCTGATTTCATTATAAATGAAAATTTTTGTATAAATTTCATTACAAATGAAATTCATCATAGATTAATAAAGGTTCTCTTGTGATAAAAGAAATTTCCTCACAATTAAAATTAAATGTGAAATGTAATTAACTCAGAATCCAAAAGTAAATGAAGTACCAGAATAGTCAACATAGTATTGAAAGTGAAAAACAAAGTTAAAGGGCCTGAACATGTTTATTTTTCATAGAACCTCACTTTCTTCATCCGTCAAGTGAGGATAATAGTACCTGCCTCATAGGGTGCTGAGAGAATTCAATTAGAAAATAAGAGATCATTTTATCAGTTTCAGGCATTTTAGTAAGTCTGAGAAAAGAACAAATACTATTACTCATCATTTTAAATCAATTTACATTCAATTTAAAATAATCCAGGTTTGTTATATTTCAATTGAAATAATACTGATAAGATAAAATTTTTAAAAATTTAAAAACAAATTGAGGAAAAGAAGAAGCAAAATAAACATTAACTGAATGAGTGATCATATACAGTATTTAGACTTATAAAATTAATAATGATATGACCTGATTATAACAGGGGACTGTCTGGGGGAACGAGTAGGTGGGGTAAGGGGGAAAGGAGAGTGTGTACTATTACAGAGTACATTATATATTATGTGGATATATATTATATATACATAGCTTTACATATATACACATAATATATAATATATATTGTACACATATATTATATGTGTGAAAATCACATAAAGAAACTCAGCAAAACTGTGAAAAAGGAGAGGGGAAGAGAGATAAAGGCTGAGATGTGGTGAATTTGATCAAAGTACATTACGTGCATATTGTAAATATCACAATGAAACCCTTTGTAGAACTAATTTATGCTAATAAAATTAAGCTTAAAAAGATTAGTAGGAAAACAGATTTTCCAACTGTTTCCTAAAAAGAGGGAAATGTTTCAAGGATGTTCAGTATGTGGTGTGCCATGCAATCAAATCCAACTTGATTTGTTAAATATATATTTGTTTCATATATATTTATATATTTTATAAATAAGACTTGGTCTAGGGAAGAATTCTCTTGCACATAAAAGGAATTAAAAAAAACAAAGAGCTAAAACATACTTCACATCATAAAAAGTAACACTGTATGAATAAATAAATAAATATCCTCTAATGAAAGTAAGCTTAACCAGCTGAGTGTGGTGGTTCACACCTGTAATCACATCACTAAGGAGGCTGAGGTAGGGAGATCATGAGTTGTGGTCAGCCTGGACTACATAACAATATTCTCTCTCAAAAAAAATCTCCCAAAATTAGCCAGACCACCATGGCACACACCTGTAATCCTAGCTACTTAGAAGGCTGAGATTTGGAGGACTACAATTCGAGGCCAGCCCAGGGAAGGTAGAGTGGGAGAGGCAGGAAACTCCTGAGACCCCATCTCAACAGGAGGGGAAAAAATAAGAAAGCTGGTCTTGGTGGCATGTACCCGTCATCCCAGCTATTGTGGGGAGCATAGATAGAAAGACTGTGCTCCAGGACAGTTCAGGAAAGCAAGACCCTATTTCCAAAATAACCAGAGCAAAAAGGGCTGGAGTAATAGCTCAAATATTTGAGTGTCAAGCATCAAACCCCAGGACCAACAAAAAAATAGTAAATTAAAACTAAAGTTACCCAAAGAAACAAAAGCCACTGGGTAATGATTAACTTTTATATAAGCAATATTATTATTTAACTTTTTTTTGTGGTGCTAAGGAACAAAGAGCCTTGCACATACCAAGCCATATCACAGCCCCAAACAGCTTAATTTTCAAACACCATAAAGCAGCACAAAAATTATCATACATATTCAATTAATATTACCTTTAAGAAAACAGTAAGAATAATGTAACAGAAATGCTTTTCCATTACATAACAAAATGTGAATTACAGTTTTTAAGTTGTGAAAGAAGGTTGGTGATTTTTCAAAAGATTAAAAAAAAAGAAATATGAAGGATGAAAAATTTTTTCTTAAGTATTTAGTAAAAATACCAAACAAAATAGCATGGCATATCAAGGTTGGGATGTCAGTGTCATCAATGAATACTCTGATGACTGATATGGTTACTCATCTGCATGAAACAGTTATTAAGAAGTAAAACCTCTGACTTGCTAGGCATGGTGGAACATGTTTGTAATCCCATCCATTTCAGAGGCAGAGATGTGAGGGTCTTGGTTTGAGGTTAACCCAGGCAAAATTTAACAAGGTCCTATTTCAAAACAAGCAAGTTGTGGTGGCATACTCCTGTAATGCCAGCTATGTGGGAAATAAGAGTATGATGACCACAATGAAGGCCAACCTGGGCAAAAAGCAGGAGATCCTATTTGAAGAATAAACTAGAACAAAGTGGGCTAGGTGTGTAACTCATAACAGAGCACTTGCCTAGCAAGCACCAGGCCTTTTCAAACCTAGTACCACCATAAATAAATAAATAAATAAATAAACAAACAAATAAATAAATAAAACCTTTAAGTACTGTCTCAGAATTCAAGAAAAAATTTTAAGTGAAGAAACTAAAAATTAATAATTTTAACATTCAGCATTTTCTAAAAAGGTACAAATTCAGTTTACCTGATGTCCAGCCTTTACTTGCTTCAAAACGCTTTCATAGCAAACTTCATCCATATTATTCAACTGCTGCATCTTAAAGTTTTAAAAATGCAAAAATTATCAAATGAAGCAAATATAAGCTTTCTACCTACAAATAAAACTTTACCAATTATAATGTAACGTAAAAAAATCCTTCAGACTAAATAGAATACAGAAGTGACAAATGCAATATAAACACCATAGAAAACTCATAAGAAACAAACACAAGCAATAAAAAAGAAACAAATAAAATACCTTAAACCACAGCTTCAGAATACCATCTAAGAGCACCAAGTTTTAAAAAGATAGCATCTTTAAGGATAATATGCTGGTTAAACATATTTTAGAAAAAAAGTTAAATGTCTCACTGCTTTTCCTAGAAAAGTCCATTCTTTAGGGTTTTTCCCTCTATTTCATTCCATAATTTACCCAGCTTTCATTTGCAATTCTTGAAACTAAGAACACTACAGGTTGAATAGCAAGTGACACTGAGAGCTAAGAAATCATCGCTGCAATATATGTGGAGGAAGGTAACTATTATTCTGTAGAAACAGTTTTCAGATTAACACAACACCTAATATATAAACCGTGAATTCAGAAAGAGCCTCACTTTCCCTATTAATGATAAAAAAGCTTCTAATCAAAAAGGAAAGTGGTCAGGCTGGTGGAGTGGCTCAAATGGTAGAGCACTGGCCTACCAAGCATGAGGCCCTGAGTTCAAAATCCAGTACAGGTCAAAATGAAAAAAGAAAAAAAAAACCACGAAGTGACTAACACATAGTAATAGTTACATGACTCATGATTTCACATTTATCAGTAACAGTTTGGAGAGATAAGAAGTGTCGTGGATATCTGAAATGACTACCATTAGGAATTTTTGTTTCAATAAGGTATATACTTTAAAATTCTTTAAGTTTATGACTATTTAAGTAGAACGAAATGGTAAGAAGTAACTGACTCCCATTAATGATTTGAAAAACAATCTGACCCCTCCAAAATAAATCCTGGTAACTTTTTCAGTGTATTTTGGGTTGGCCAAAGACATTATTTCAAATTGGAAGTATCACTCACACTACTTTCTCACATTTTTCCATAAGAACTGAATCTAGCATCAGCTTCTGAATGAAACTCTAATAAATCTACAAGGATTACTTTTAATAATAAATGATAAAGTAAAAATTGGCTTAAAAACATATTAACAACATCCTGAAGAAATGTTTAATGATTACCAACTACGTATTTCAACTGAGTATAAAATTAATAAATGTTAGCAAGACAAAATCTGTATTTATAACATATATTGTTTATACTACATAAGATATATAATTGTAAAAATTTATCTAATTCCTAAACCTTAAAAATAATTATGACAGTTCATGTAATACCATTTTGTTCATCATTATAATAACATATTGTGATGGAAAATACTTTAAATTTAATTAGCTTTAAGTGATTTATCAATTTGTATGATGCAGTTGAAAGAAAATAAGGTTCAAAATAGCTGAAACAATTTTCTTCTTTTAATATCTCTGTGATAACCATCTGCTGTCATTTAAATTACAAAGCGAAAAAGTCTAGAAAGTTTTGCATTTATTCCAATGACACATTCAAATAAGTAATTAAAAATATGAGACAATACTGAGGAAAATAAGCAGCACATAATACTGAGCCCTTGAAACAATTAATAAAATCAAAATATGCATACCATAACTACTATATTGCAAATACTTTGTTTATAAATCTGAAGAGGATTCCTGTAAATTGATAGATACCTCACTCTATGCAAGTTGGTGCATAGTATCTGTTGCAGTAAGTCATTTCTGAAATTTATTAGCTGAATGTTTTACTTATAGAAGAATAAGTAAAAATGGCTGTTCTACTTACTTGTAAAATTGTTTTTAGACAAGAAGCAATATAATACATAAAAGACTGAGTATGACATAATAATATGTTCCATCTTGTGAATATTATCATATTTGTTGAACAGAATGCTAAATGATAAATTTTAAACAAAATAAAGTTATCCTTCACATGATATAAGTTTAGAATAAATACACTAAGTGCAAATGACATGTGGTAGGACTCTTAAAGGAATTAGATGAAATTTTTACAGCAATGTAAAGAGTTTTACAAATGCCACTTACATATAGATAATATGATCATTACAAACATTGTGAGTCCAACACAAAACCTTCCCTGGGAGGTGCTACTATGAAACTATTCTTCACTTTCAAATGAGGTATATTCATTATTTTAAATGAGCATTATATTGAAATATGTATCACTTATTTATTTAGAATTTTTATTATTTCACAATGCCCTCCAATTAAATCAAAATAATTTTTTGAAACTTGTAACAACTGAAAATACATAATCTGGGCTTAAAATAGGAATGCAAATTACTACAAGAAACTTTCGATGGGAGGACTTACTGTTACCAATTTATATTTATTTATTTATTCATATGTGCATACATTGTTTAGGCCATTTCTCCCCCTTGACCCCACCCCCTCCCCGGCCCTCTTCCTCTCCCCTCCCCCTCTTACTTCCAAGAAGAACCTGTTCGGCCCTGTTCTCCAACTTTGTTGAAGAGAAGACATGTGCAACAATAGGTCTACTACCAATTTTTAAGTATGCTTGATTTTTTCTGAGTTTTCACATTTGCATGCTACAGAAATGTCTAATCCTAGACAAATATTCAACAGTAAGTCAACAAAAACATTTTAGAGAAGAAAAGAAATGAGTTATTTACCTTATTTGCACTTTTAATCCCCAAAAATGTTTGTCCAAGAGGTACTGGTCGAAAACGGCCATCAAAGTAGAACAGCCCAATGCAGGGATTAACATGTAAAAACGTAGCAACATCAAGGTAGTTGGGTAAGGTCGCAGACAGTCCAAGAATCCTTATCATGCTCTGTGTGGACTCAACCTATGTGGGTTATTATAATTAAAGGTTGCTTTAATTAAATGTAGCTTAAATTAACTTAACTAAAAACACTTTCATGAATCTTATGAATAAGATCTTCTAAAAACTAGAGAAAGAAATGAGGTCAGAGGTCAACTGACATTCTTATCATGTAAAACTTTATAGTTCATAATTCACAACCATGATTCAGTAGCTACAATACAACTCAGTACCATTGTAGTTAAAAATACACACAGGAAGTTGTATTAAATAACCATAAGAATTTTACGATAATTAAATGTATTGTTAGGTCTGGAAACTCAGTGAATTCCAAAAACTAATCATACAAGGCCTAATTCTATGATTACAATAGGATATACCTAACTAGATAAAACAGGGATGGCCAAATATTCCATTCATTTGGTAGTTAAAATACATCATTATGATTTTAAGATGCAGCTATCAATTTCATAGTAGTTTTCTTAGGAAGCTGTTGATAAGTTTGCTCAGTCTAGCAGATTCAACAGGCTTAAGCAAAGTAGTCCAATGTGCAGAATATTATGCTTCCAGAGTCAGCTATCCATCCACACTGGATTAGCACCCAACCTGTGGCCACTGAAGATGCAGTACTGAATGAGACACACACCCACATAGGCAGAGACTATTTGTAGAAGCATACAGAAGGAGGATCAAAATGGATGGTGTTAAGTGAAAATTAAAGTAGAAAACCATAAACCATTTTACCATTAATTTGCTTTCACTAAAGAAATCTTATGGGTATCAACAAAAACCCAAATCAAACATCACCAAAAGCAAAGAATCCTAAATAACAGACAGAATCACCATACCCATACCTATTATTTAAGAAACCTCCTTTATAATGTACAGTAATTATAGTTCTACATAGTGACTGTGGTGACTTGGAAAGAAATGAATGTAATATTTGGTTTAAAAATTATTAAAACACAAAATTTACTAAACCTACTTTTTAAAGCCTTTTGATGTTAAATGAATGATACTCTTGCAAACACCAGGGACATCTTTCTACTAAAAATCCATTTTAAAACAACAACATTTGAAATAAAAGAACACTCTTATCATTACTAAAGTAATTAAGGATTGTAAGAAATACTTCATTTAAAATAGGGAAAGTTTGGGATTTTATTTTCTTCGGCAACTTTAAAAACTCTATAAATCACAGATATCTGTGGAACAAATATTCACTATTGACCCATATATAAATAGCTGTTTGAAGAGTCTTTTTTATCATAATCCAAGACTAGGCAGCAAGTTTTTATGATGTTTTCTCTCACATAAAATTTAAGTTTGGACATAAAATTAAGGTCTTCCTACTCACTGAAAGCAAATGTAGTTAAGAAGGCAACTAATATGAGTTCAATATTGTTAAAAACAATAAATTTGTGATTTCTTATGCCTTCATCTTTTACGTATTTGTGAATGCAGTCCTTAACCTGCCATGTAATTTCAGATCATGAGCAGACACTACACTGTATTGGAACAGCTTCTCCATTAGATACAAATGTTGAAGTATGATGTGAAACACTACCATCTACTGGGAACATCCGGTAATCACAAAGAACAAACAAAAACACTAGCTACAATAAAAATAGTTATGAGCATCGCACTAATACTTTGGAAATATGAAAAGAATCACATATACATTTTATCAAGTTGATTCAAATCTAGTGAGAAATATAGATAAAGACAGAATTAACTACAGCACATTGTAAAATTATAAGGAAAACTATGACAAATGCTAAAAATGTGCAAAGAAAGGGAGAATAGAAGGAACGAGAAGATGTGGAATTCTTTCTAATTATGAAACACTTCACATAACTATTATTTGACAGGTTCAAAAGAACACTAGATTTTCTATCAATGCAGTGGGAAAATAAATTCTTTTAAAGCTTGATATTTATATAATCATTAATCTCACAACCAAAACCAAACACAGTCTGCCTTCAAGTAAGATTCATTTCATCTAGAAAAATGGTCAATAGTATTGGAAAGAAAGCAGGGAAAGATGACATAGTTTTGTGTGGCTGCAACCTACGGTAGCTGACATATATTCAGAAGTTAAAATTATAAAGATAGACCAGACTTTAATAATCTCTAATATCCAGGTAAGAAATGGAAAATTTTTCTTAGCATAACAAACAAGTGGGCAAAGGTTTATGAGCATAAATAATGACATAATATGCAATAGAATATAACATTATGGGAGATGACAATCGGCATCTGCATTATATATTAGATATGAAGATATATTGTCATATATTTATGTATTACACAATACATAATTTGTATATGTATTAAACTTATAATTTATATACTTTATATTTATGAATTATAAAGAGAAAATTATATATATTTATAAATGATTTATGAAATAGTTATAAAAATATAATTGCTTTTAAAATATTATACATGATGCATGATATGTTGTGTGTCTGTGTGTGTCTGGGAACACGCACACCCAAAGGATTAGCAGCATTCTACTTTCACTCTGTGGGGGTGCTCACAAAAGAAAGATGTCCTCCTGGTTAAGTCCCTATATAAACATGCGAATGACAGACCTCCTGGCAAATGCACTAATGATATTTACTTGCCCCTTAATGTTCTACAGTGGAGGAAAGTCCTTATCTGTGGAATTCTTTCAGCTGAATGCCCAAGTCTCTCTAGGTGGTTCATTGCAAACAAAATGTAGAATATATAGATTCATGCATCATGGCTTTCTGAAAAAGTCATAAGCTTTTTAAATATCAAGGTATAAAATCAAAATATTTCAGTATCAAAATAGTTCGCTTTTATGTAAAGGATGTCTGGCATGCTTCCTTTTGAAATTTCACATGTAAAATCTAGGCCAGAGCACATCTATAATAGGAAGAAAGGGTCTGGAGGGAGAGATGCAGTTTCAGACTTCTGCATGCTTGACCTGTGTCTCTCAACTACCTGTATCCTTGAAATGATTAACTTGGATATTAGCTAAAACCTCTGAGTTTTATAAATCTTCATTGAATATTTCAACCAATTATACTTTATGCATGCATGTAAACATATTTTTTAATTTTTATGTTAAAAGTGAACATTTCTCAAATACTCCTCCAATTCCACAATCCCACCTCTATGGTAAGAAACTTTTCAGCTTGCTGTATATCCTTTCACAAATATGCACCTCATTGTATGTCTGCCTAAAATCTAAATATAACCAAGAACTTTGTTTTGTCTACCATTAAGAACCTAGACGATGTAGCCAGCAAATGGCAGGTGCTCAGTAAATGTTCATAAATGAAATATTAAATGACTGAAAATATTTACTATATATTTTCATCTTCACCCAAACTGTGATTGTGCTACAAAAACTAGATAGCTTATTTTTTCAGCAAAGAATGTAACATGGATATATTTCAAGACCAGTTCATATGGCTCTACTTCATTCTTTTTAAAGCCTGCAAAATATCATTTCATTGGATGAATATAACTTATTAAACCATTTTTCTATTATTGAACATTTTGGTTGTTTCCAAAATAATTTTTAAAAGGAGAGCTTCAAAAAAGATTGGTAATGATGTCTTTATGAGTCAGTCTGTGCTTTTATTTCCATAGGTTAGATTCAAGGGTTGATTTTAGGGACTGCCTACAAATTCTACTCCATTTTCATTTTTGCTAATCTGATAGAAATATTGATCTGAATTTCTTTTAAATATCTTTTCTATATATCTCAGGACTTTTATTTCTACTGTAAAATGATCATTCTACTTTTTAAAGCCTTTTTCTTATTAATTTATAAAAATCTATTACATATAACTGATATCAAAGATGTTATGTTTACTAATAATTCTTACTTTTTGGTCACTTGTCACTTACATTTTAACTTTTGGGAATGGCATCTTTCTTCACTGGTCAGAAATTTTGAATATTTATATATCCAAGTATGGCACAGGTTTTCTTTGAACCTCTGGAGTCTTGCATGTTGCTTAGATTGCCACTCTGCAGTTACTAAAAAAGACTCTCCTGTGTCTCTTTAGTACACTGAGAGTTTTATTTGATACAATTGAATTATTAATCTATCCAGAAATTTATTGTGGATTTAAACAAACTTGGTTTATACAATATACAACTTCAAGTTTTGTATTCCCCTTTTAATATAAAATTCCTATAAATAGGACTGAATCAGAGATATTTAAGATATGAACTATAAAACAACTGACATCAAACTAGATATTTAGATATTCGGGTGGAGGAAGAATGTTAAGGACAAGAAAAAGTTTGACTATAACTGCAGGGTTTTGGCTTGGGACCAAGTAGAGTGCAATGTCATATACAAGTATACAGAAAAGATGACAGAGTTCTGACATGGTAACAACAAATATGTGAGAGAAATCAAAGTAGAAGCTTGCATAAGGCTAGAGCTCACCAGAAAGATGTATTTAAAACACACACAGAGATGCAATGTTGAGCATCTCTCACCTAAAAATCTGAAATCTAAAATTCTGCAAAATGTAGAACTTTTGGAGTAAAACATAATGCTGGAAATGGAAGATTCTACACCTGACTTCCTATGATAAGGCAAGTCAAAGTCAGAATAAAATTACTTTCAGGCTATGTATCAAAGATGTATATGAAGTGAAAATGAATTTTGTGTTTAGACTTGGCATCATTCCCAAGATATCTCATTATGCATATATAAATATTCCAAAGTAAAAAAATCTGAATATGAAATAATTCTAGTCCCAAGCATTCTGAATAAGAGATATTCTATCTCTAGAGGCCTCTCTGTCTCTGAACATTTAGGTGACAAAGGCACTAAAGTTTTTCCCAAGGTAAATATTTAGAATGAAAAAATAAGATGGTGAGCGAGAGTCTTAAGAGGCTATGAACATTTCAAGGGTAAAAATAGGAGACAATCCTAAAGAAAGGAAGTAGGAAGCCTGAGAAATAGTAGACAGGGAAGTGAAAGAAAAGAAATCAAGTGGAATTAGGGAATAGGAAGGGGAAAGAAGGGATATATGTGATAGGAGTAAATATGACCAAAGTACCTAAATAAATGTATGAAAATGTCTTAATGAAACCCACTGGTTTGCACAATCAATACAGGCTAAAAATAAACCAACTGGAAAATCAGTGCAGGGTGGCATCATGGAACCAAAGGGGGAAAAGTTTCAAGATTGAAGTAATGATGAGTAATGAAATATTAAAAATTAATATTCTCAAAAGTTAAAAAACAGGTTTGAGAACTACCTTTTGGTGACCCTGGTGAAACATTTTTATTTATATTTAAGCAATGACCAGACTGTAGTGCTTAAGAATGAAAAGGGATATAGTGGATAGAGGCTAATATTTTCAGAAGTGAGGTAGTAAAACACTTTTATAAGCAGAAGTTATTGGAAAGGGATAGGTTTGAAGGAGGCTTTTTGGTAAAGATGAAATGAACTTTGCCATTCTTTTAAGATGAAGAGACAACAGAATTTAAAGATACAGGTAAAGCAAAAGTGGTAACTTAAGAGAGTGAAAGGAATAGGGTCCAAGGCAAAAGGAGAAGGGACCTGTGGATAGAGGTGTAAGTTGGGTATGCTAATGATGGCAGTAGGAGGGAGATGCTAGGTTTCTTTCAGGTTAGGGAGAGGAAGGGGAAGGGCTGGAAACTGAAGGAATTCAAACAGAAAGGATTCCTTCTCCTTTCAGTAAAAATTGCTGTCACATAAGAATGAGGCACAACAGGGTAGGGAAGAAAGATAAAAACTAATGAAACTTAGAAAAGGCCATATTAAAGAAACAGAAGAAAACTTACTTAGAAGATTTAGGGTAATGCTAGTGATTCAGGTGAATTCAGAGTGGATGAATGCACAATGTGCAGCACAATCTGTGAATGCATACTGATACCAGTCTACATCACTGTGTGATCTCCACTAGTGATTAGCAGTCTGGCTAGAGGTACAGACATGGTTCTGCTGAATCACTGTTGTAATTTTGCCAAGTAATCAGTCAGGATAAGTTAGGTAAGGTTATTGATAACAGAGTATTTGACCAGGAAGTCTTGTCTATTTCAGGAAGGAAATAAAGAGACTGAATAAAAGACAAAAACAAATGGGGGTCAAGGAAGCAGACTTCTTGATCAGGATGAAAGCTGGTATTTATTTACTTTCTATATATGTATTATATATCAAAAACTTCATTTTAATAGTCATGAATATGCTAAAGAGGTTACCTTTTCAGTTAATTGAAAAAAAGGGGGGACTGATAGAAATATCATGAAACTCCGGCATTGGTAAATTTACTAAATTTGGTTTGGTTTAGAGTATTTATAGGTTACCAAAAAGGCCCCAAAATAGAGACAACATATATATATATATATATGTGATCTTTAAAAAATATTAATTAAAATTATGCATACTAGGCATATATTTAGTATAATGGGAAATATAAATCATGTTCAGATTTTCTCCAGGGCAGAGAGAAGAGAAGTGGATCACAACAAGAACATTATCAGATATTCCATTATATTTTAATTGTGATTAGTCAATATTAGGTCTTGCTTTGGAACACAGGTTTAGAATGGAATTTTTCCTGAATTTATTTTGGTTAAAGACACTTCAATGAATTAAGAATTGGAAAAAAAAAAGAAAGATTTTTATAACTAAAGTTTTCTCCATGGTAAAACTGTCTTTATCTCTGTGAACAATGTACATCAACACTTCCTTTGAATGCTATATTGTAAGTTTAAAAACATTCATGCCTCCAAAATAAGCTCATAGATAACTTCCTCTTACCTGTCGCAAAGTACGTGCAACTATGCTTTCTAACACGGGCCCTCTATCTTCATGCAGCAAATGAACTTCATCAAGAATAAGGAGTTTTACAATTTGGGAAAGAGCAACATCCCCAACACTCTTTCTTGTCACTACATCCCATTTTTCTGGTGTTGTCACAAGCATCTGAAACACAAGAAAAGACAATCAAATTAAAATGGGGGAAAAGTCAAACAGATTATTGAAATTTCAAATGTGTTATTCAAAAAATATTTTTAGTCACTCCTATAAAATCAAATAAAAAGGATTTAAAATATCCCAGAATGACAACCAATTCTCTATAGACAACAATCAATTCAAGATCTTTCTCTAAAACTATTATATCAAGCAATTAGTTAAAGCTCCTGAGGGTAGTTTATTAGTAAATTATACTGTGAACTATACAAATGACATTCATTTTTAGAAGCATCTTACATGTAAGAAACCTGTCTTTTAAAGCAGCATATACTGATAATGATTTTTATTTGATAAGGGACTAGAAAGTGACAGAAGCTCTAAAAGGAAATAAAACAATAAACAGTCTAGGATGGTCATCATCATAAGCCTATTCAAATTCGGATACTACTACTATTCCGATACGACTATTAGCACAGTTTTTAAAATCTGCCCTTTAATATTATGGAGTATATGTGGTACTGCATACTAAACACTAATCCATTTAATAAGGCATAACTCTCACACGCAGCAATCAGTGAGGCAATGGAGATCAGGGAATCCACACTAACGCAACCCTAGGGTATTGGTGTAAACTGCACAGAAGCAGCGATTACAAACCTATTAACTTTTTACATAAAGAATTGTTTAGATGCTCTAAAAGCATACTGCAATAGAAAAAGATGAGAAGTTTAATATCTAATACTGCCATAATGCTGTATTAGGAAACAAGTCTGTGCATGGTAATTCAAAGACTATATAAGGTGACAAATCAAAACTAAACCTTCTCTTACTCAGTATAACAGATTATGGACACTGATAACACCAATAATTCAACTGAGTTTTGCCTTTACAAGGGCTAACTATTCTCTGAACAATTTTAATAGTATTTCCTATCAGTTTTGAAGTCATATAGGGGGATGATAATCTAATTTTTTATATTGGAAATAATAAATTCTTAAATGAATAATCCAATTTCATCAATATGACCTGTTGCACTAATATTTATACCATTGCTATCATTTTGAAATGAACTATGCAAAACTTAGCTGTTATACTTCTACAGAACATTAATTAGCATAGAGCAATGAACTAGATTAAGCAATGCCTATCTTAGGTGTGAAATACTACAAATCTAAGTGGCTTAGTTAATTTGCTAAAGCTAAAATGACAAAGTTGAGATCACATCAATTTTTACAGAAAAGACACACTACTAAAAATATGCTACTAGGAATAAGTATAAATAGTTGCATAATGAATATTGAGATTTAAATAGTACAACATATTCACTATGCATTAATTAACATCTTCTATCATATTGCAATAAATTTAAACTGAACTTCTACTTTGAATAATGACAGATTTGAAACCCAAGATATATTATCATAAATATACTGATAACTAACAAGCCTTCTTCATTAAAAGTCCTTGAGAAATATACCATGTTTGAAAACCCCCCAGCAATTCTTCTGCATGATAAAATAATGGCATATCAAAATATAAAATGGGGAAGCTATTTTATCAGTAGTAAATATTAAGAGACCTACAAAATATACTATTAAATCATAATAAATACAAAGTGTGGCTATGTACCTCCCCATTACTTTGAACACTGCACCAACACTTTCTTATAATTAACTTTCAGAGGTAATAATATAGAAATAAATAAAGTGAAAAATCAAAATTTTCAGACCTCAGAAAGCTATACTACCATATCTTAAGAGTCCTTTCTAGCATTTTGTTTTCTATATTTTACTTTCAGCAAATTAAGAAGTGGGTTCATTTATATCACCAGTTCACCACTTCAGTTCCTAAACTAAAATGGCTAGAAAATAAAGTGTCACATTTGCTTAATGAAATGGAACTCATGCAAGACATTTCCATCTGCTCTTACATTAGGGCATGGGTTAACTGTCAATATTTTTACTGTCAACTTAAATTTCTCTCAGTACATGTACATACTCCTTCAGCAGTGTAAAAATCATTACTTGATGCTCTTCCAATTTTAGCCTATCCACTGAGAAAATGGCATAGTTGAAATGCTTATGTACCATTATAGTGAAAATTTATTGTATTCAATTTAAAAATACTTATCAGTTTGACAGTGAAAAAAAGCAAAGCACCTAAGATTTGCCGGGATGGATTCATCTGATAATTCACATAAGCAATATTACTAAAAACTTGCTTTACATCTGTATACAATAAAATTACAATATTTAGTTTTACATGAATGTTTCATCCTTTTTTCTAAGCGTGGAGTATATTCCTCCTTCAGGAGGGGAAGAGAAGAGAAAAACAGAAAATTTTAATCTGAACTTTTTATAATTATTTGCACAATTCAATAATTGGACAATATAGCAAGGCCTTTATCAAAACACAGCAAAAGAAGAAGTGCTTTGCTGAATGAAGAATGTCTTGCCTGAGTCCGAGTATTCAAAGACAGATCTCAAATAGAATTCTTTCAATTTTCAATTTTGATCTATGAATTCTGACAAGTATTACCAAGCTTCCGCCCAAATAATGGTTGTAAGAAGAGTGAGTTTGAGTGTGTATTTTATATTCTATTTCATCTTCTCCCCACATATTAACAGACTGAACTAATCTAATGCTTCTTGAGAAACAAAAAATGCAGAGATTCAAGTGGTAGAACTGTTACTGTGTCAGCAGATGTAACTACAGGCAGATGATGGGTTCCAGTGAAAGAATGCACATCTGAGATCTGGGCTTTCCTGGGTTGGGAGAAGAAATTACATTGTTCCTAAATATAACTTTTATAACTTTATTAATACTTTTTACTCTACAAATAGTTCTTGGAGAGAAAAGTGATTTATGCCTAGAGTGGCTTGATAAAAACCGGGTCACAAAGAGAAGAAATAAATCAAAAAAGTACCTGGAGGAGGAGAGACTGACAGAAAATTCTCCTCGGAGACAGAATTTTTCTACATCATGTTAGGAGTGCAGCTTAGACATTTGTCAAAATCCACTAGATATTTACAATGTGTATTTCATTCTAGGTAAACTCTAAATTTTTGTAAAAACTCACAAAGAAAGAGGCCTCTGAGACAAATCAATCAGATGCAGGGTATGGATTTCACCTAAAATAAAGGAGCACGTGGGGAAACAAAGACTAACTTGGTATCAGATAGTATTAAGGAAATGTTAAAATTATTTAGTCCAATATAAGTATTATGAATATATTTTTTCAAAGACTTTCTTATCTTTTGGAGATATACTTCTATTCATAAATGAAAAAACTTAAAAAGCATAAAATGGAAAAGCAGTAGTTAAAAAGGATACATTTATGTTTCAAGTGGGAAAAAAAGTAGATTGCTACCCTAATATACAAAAAGTTTGCATTTATCTTTATTTACTAAATGATTGTCATTCATTTATTTAAGTGCTAATGCTTCAATTCACAGATGTCATCTATAAAATTACCTTATTGCTTCCATCTTACTTTCAGGTCCTAATGGGATTATCGCAAACTCCTTACCCATATCTCAAACTATCCCCTACTGTGGCTATAAAACAAGTATTGCCATCTAAAGTTATTATGTCAAAAATCTTACAGCATTCAAAACTGACCTACTGAGAACATACAACTGTTCATTACATATTTGGTCTCTAAATTTTAGTTTCCCCAATCATAAAACTTCATAAATAAAAATTCTATTCAAAGGTCCTTCAATAACGAAGTAGTTAAATACCTAGTAAAATATTTACACAATGGAATACACAATGAAAATGAGTGAAGTACTAAACTATATGGAAAAACATTGAAAAATCTCATAATCTTAGTGTTAAATGGAAAAATCCAGGCACGTATTATATCATTTCACCTAGTCACGATTTTAAAGCAGGTGAAACTAATATAAGTTATTAACGCCTAGGACACTGACGACATCTAGGGAGGAAGCTAAGGTAGAAGCAGGTAATGAGGAGAGATTCTGGGTTGCTGGTGATACTGTCTTGATCTGAGTGGTGGTTGTACTGGTCTATTCACTTCAGGAAAATTCAATGACTAATCACAATCTTTGAATTGCATTTCAATAATCTGTGTGCACAAATGTTAATATTATGATATATAAAATATTTTAAAAACAAACAAATTTCAAATTACAAGAAGAGATATCTGGTCTGTACTGCAAAAGGTGAATAAGAGCTCCCTCAGACCAAAAGAAAAAAAAAATTGAGGCAGGGAGGGAAAAAATAATAAGAAAATATGTTCTTTGAATATCATGTTCTTTGTGCTTTTATCACCTACCACCAATTGTGCAACTATGTATGTAAGCATGCTTTCTGTGTATATTACAAAGTTTTTAAGAACAGGAAACAAATTCCGAATTTCACATGAAAATCATTGTTCCTCAACTATTTGACTGGAAAAAATAGACATGACAACTAATAAATTTAGATGAATTTCTTGCCCAATTATCAATCTTTTTCTAAAACAGGGAACCCCAAGAAGTATCAAAACAAAAAGAAACAAAAGTTCAGCACATTTGTTATAAATCTTTGAAAAAGAAAAACAAGACACTTATAATTTAAATTTCCTAACTCCCATATTTACTTATAATGTTCTTCGTGTTGCTATTCAAAAAAGAACTGTTCTTTTTAGATTACTTAATGCATACTGTAAATTATTTTAAGACATAAAATTCACATAAGTTATTTTTTTCCTATTGATTACTGTCTGTAATTCCTGGATACTAATGACCATACTAACAGTGAAGGAGTGAACTTCAAGTGAAAGAGAAGTCTTCCAAGTCTAGTTCAAAATTTTCATTTTATTGATAAACCTTCACAGATAAAGTCAAGGTCTTGCAACTAATTAGTGGAAAAAATTAAGGTATCATATAAGCCCCCTATGCATCCTTTATGCTTCCCATAAAAATCTATAGTCTCCATACAAAAGAGAGAAAAGAAAAAAAATGACCTCACAAGTTACCCAGTGTAGAACCATTTAGGAAGCA